GCAGCTGGGACTAGAACCAGCGCCCATATGGGATGCTGGCACTTCAGGCCAGGGCGTTAACCTGCCAGGCCAGGGTGTTAACCCACTGCGCCACAGCGCCGGTCCCGCGCGTTTTTTTATAACCAAATTGTTACTCTCCACATTTAAATCCTTAATGTCAAGCTGAGCATATAGTCTACAGTAAGCATTCAGAAAATATTTATTGGACAGATAGGTTAATGTACACTACTCACATCTTTTCATATTGCCCCAGAAGTTTGCTTTTACTCTTACCTGAGAACTTCTTGGCCTCTTGTTTGTGCTATGCATATCAGATTTATTCTTAATGTCTAGAGATTTTTAAAGGTATTTGTTAGTGTGAGAGATTGTAAGCATCTAGTGGGGAAAAAGTCATCATTAAACTTGTTTTAAAATGAATTCATAAACACAATTTAATTATCAATGCCTTTGAACCTAAGAATACTTCTGTGTTTGTAATGAGTTGCCTTGTAATTCATTTTAACAGTAATGGATTTACTTTACATTTCAAAAAATTTTATATTTTTGAGATTTGACAATTTTTATAATATTTTAATATTCATTTCATATGTGAACATTATATACCAACACATGTATGTCTTTTTGAAAGTGGGGACATTAATATCATATAACGTGTGATTTATGACAGGGATCATAAAATGAGGAAAGAAGGGTATATTATAATGTAGAGGGTATAATTCATCTAATTTATAACTTCATATGCCAAATAATATGACATTCACACATTTTTATATTCTTACTATATATACATATATACACTTTTTTTCCTAAATGGATTTTACTTTTTTATGTCCGTACGTCTTCATCGTTGTTTGAAAACATGTGTGTGTGTGTAAGTTTATAAAGTTGAAATGTAGCACACATACCCATTCATGTAATTACTGTCAGAGATCCCAAAGCAAACATTTTAGGTCTAGACAAGCATAGGCAGGCATTATCTTGTCTCAATCCTGGATGTGATGTAGAAAGGAACTGGAATGGACAAGTCCACAACCATGTTGGATTGGATGGCAAATATCCTACATGGAGTTTAATCAATTGAGTGACCCTACATAGAATCCTTTTTTGCATGCTATGTATTTTCTCTCATGAAAATAGCATTACATAAAATCCCACGAGTTTGGGGTAAGGCTTCCTCTTGGAGGAAGTTAATGGTTTCCCTAAAAGAAAAATACAGCTGAAATCCTGACCTCTTTTTCTAGATTGGAGAGGACTGAGGGGCACGTGGTGTTTGTGTGTTAGTGTTGAGGGCTGGAGGGAGGAGCAACCTCTACCTATGAAACTGGAGAGCTAGTTGTGAGCTGAGGGCTGTACTCCTATATTCCTGACTTCACCAAGGATGATTTGAGGAGCTGGAAGCCAGTATTTGAAGTGAAATTTGCATGAAGGAAACAGACCTTCTCTAAATCCTGAGTACATGTTTAAGTATTTTTAAAAGAGGACGAATCTTTAAAAAGCAAGAGCAACACTTTCCCCCAAATGTGGTGGAGCCACATTGGAGCTCATGCGCATCTAATTCCAAGTCCTCACTCAGTGAGACTTTGTTCAGAAGAAGATAACTCAGAGTGCAGTTTCTGGGTCCTCACTCAAGGCTGTGTTCTGGAGAATTACCACTGAGTGCAGGGCTATGGGTCCTCACACAGGCTGTGTTCGGGAGAATTAACTCCGAGTGCAGTGTTCTGGGTGCTCACTCACATAGTCTGTGTTCAGGAAAAGATACCACAGAGTAGAGAGTTCTGTGTCCTCACTCACCCAGGCTGTGTTCAGAAGAAGCTACCTCAGAGTGCAGTGTTCTAAGCTGTCATCACACAGGCCCATTTCAGGGGAGTTTACTTCAGTCCTCTGTGTTCAGGGATTTTATTGCAGAGACCTTTATCTTGTGACTTAGGCACTAAGATACTGGAGGCAAAGACTCTTGCCCACAGTCTATGGTATCTGCATCCTGTTTAGCTTTCCTAATACTCACTTTTCTACCCTGAAAAATGAGTTTGGAATTTTCTACACTCTTACTGTGAGTATTAAATGCGCGTGCCCTATAAAGTGGTGAGCAGTTTCCAGTGTAAAGGAGATGTTGATGACAGCTGGCTTCTCATCACTGCTGCCATGACCACGGCACAACACACCTTTTCTTGTCACTGGGCTGTGCCCTTTGAGTCAGGCACAGAGGCCACAGCTGCTGAGATCTGAGCACTTGTGGAGGTTTTTTCTGAGATTATGTCTATAGCCTGTGCAACATGGAGTGAGCAAAGTGCACAAGACAGCTGACTGCACTGCTCTCAGCAACATGGTGGTGGTGGTTGGGGGCGGGGTCTGAAGTTGAGTGACTTGACTGCTGGAAAACAGCGCCACCACGAGGCGGCCACGGCTGAAAATGCCCAAATGCTGCTTCCCACACACCCAGGATAGCCAGGGCTGGGACAGGTGGAAATCAGGTGCCAGGAACTCAATCTGAGTCTACCATGTGGGTGGCAGGGACCCGAGGCTTGAACCAGCATTGCTGACTCTCAGAGTGATCAATAGCAGGAGGTTGGAGTCAGGAGTGGAGCTGGAACTTGAACCCAGGCACTCCGATATGGGATGTGGACATTGCAACTGTGTCTCAATCACTAAACCAAATGCCCTCCCCTAATCCCATTCTCCACACAGCTTCTGGAGTTCTGTGTGTGTATGTGTGTGTGTGTGTGTGTGTATGTAGGGTATATATTACATACATGTCAAGTGTGCAATATAAATGAAACATATCAGGCATCTATGATACATAAAATCTCCGTGTGTACATCAACATGCACCCGTATACACAACACATTTTTGCATACATATTTTTCCAGAGTGGGGGAGAACCTCTCTATAACCAATTGGAAGGAAAGAGATTGGGGATTCATTTACTTGATATTTCCCACAGCACCTAATGCAGCTCAGAGACACTCGACCATGTGGGATGAAGCACAGCGGCACGTGGAGAGACTGTGTCTGCAGGGAAAGAGGACGCGCCAGTATGGCCTGTGTCTGAGACTCTCCTCACCTCTCCATGCTGTGTTAGCTGTCGTAGTGAGAAATACAGAGAACAGAGTCTTTTCACCAGATTTACTATCAGAATCAATTAAAAAACCATATTCTAAAGTCCATTCTGAAATACTTGAGTGTCAAAAATGTACTTGTATTTTTATCCTTGGATTTGATGAGATTGCCAGAAGGCTAGAGCCCTGATCCACTTTGGTTAGATTTGAGGCACACGTGTTCACTCTGTCCTACATCAGTGACCATGGACCTGATGTGAAAGGTGGTAAAATTTCAAGATTTGCATTCCCACCATCTACAAGTTGACATACTTGTTATTTTTTAAGGATAGGTATTATGATTTTGTGGTTGTTGCTTGCTCGATTTGCTCTCAAATTTTTACCTTGGGACTTTGTTCTGTCTCATTGCCAAGTTAAGAACTTGAGTGAGTGAAACCACTCTCATTAAAAGGCCACCTTGGGGGATAAACCTCCAATGACCGGCACTTGGGAAACTGGTATAATTCTCATTGTTGCTGCTGGGAAAAATGGGCTGTGGAAGTGTGGTGTGCACATCGCTAAGGAAGTGCGGTGTGGATACGGCCAACTACAGGGTGGTGAGGACGTGTGGTGTGGACACTGTTAACCTCAAGGCTGGCGAGGACATGTGGTGTGGACACTGCTAACCTCAGGGCTGGTGAGGCATCTAGGAGTCGGTCAGAACAGGAAGAAAGACACGAAGGACTTTTAGGTGAGGTTTGTTTCATTGAGAATCCAAAATGCTTGTCAGAGTCCCTGTGATCCATCCCATTAAGAGAGTTTAAATTCTAGTAAATTCAAAGTCCATCGCCGCTTGCTGATACAGACCCCAGGTAAAGCAGCACTGGGCAGCAGCACTGGACGGTACTGGTGGTGCTCGCCTTATGCTTGTTAAATGCCACCAGCTCTCTGCCTGTGGGCACACAGACCAGTGCTGGATCTTTTAAACTGAAGATCGCCGATGCAAAGTACACATCGAACACTGTAAACCCTAATACTCAAAGTAAACAGTGTGTGTTAAGCTCTGCGCTTTATAAAAAGCTTGCGAAGCCCTGTTTAGTGTTGTGGCTGCCGATGGGATTATTTTTTCATTGTTCAATGCGTTTATTTGGGTCTTGATCAGCCAAGCACTTTTCAGTTGCTCAGTTTAGGGCAGTGAAGGGAATAGCACATCCCCTCTCCTCCTGGGGACTGGGGTTTCCAGAGAATCAACCCTGCCTCCCCACACAAATGTGCAGTTGGCTCGAGTTCTCAGGAAAAGGAAATGGCCTGACTGAACTGTGCTTTCAGTTTTACAAATCCTGAAGACTTGGAGAATGAGAGTTGGTAGTGAATTTTAAAGCAAAATGTTTTGAGCCATTCTTGCTGAGAAAATACATTCATTTATTGCACTGGTGATACAAGTTTTATATGCCATAGTAGAGTTTGTAAGAAAGTTCATTCTGAATAAAAACTGCCAGGTGCTCTCTCCTTTACTCTTCCCCGGGAGCGCATATTTATTTCTGTTTTGTATAGAACAGAACATAGTATCAGAGAATTTCTGAGTGACATGCAATCTGCATGCACACAAACACACACACATGGACTTGCACAAACATGAATGTTCACACACACAAATACATACACAGGGACAAGCACACACATCCAGGCACACAGGGACATGCATACACATCCATGTACACATGTGGATGTGCACATACAGGGATGTGCACACACATCCAGGCACACACAGGGACATGCACACATGTCCATGTACACTGTCTATGCATGCTGTCTACTCCAAGAGGAGGAGTCACACCCTACAACAGGATCCCAACCCACTGCAGCTAAAGCAGTCCTAAATCTACTGCTTAGGTATGTTACAGCTATTTGTTTTCAATACTTAAAAACTAGTGGAACATAGCAGACAGGAAATCATCATAGGTAAAAACAAAATTAATAATCACTGATTTAATAAAGTTTCCTTTATAAAGGTCTAATTCATTTAAAACACCTAGCATCTATCATTGATCTTTTTGTCTTATAACCAAGATGTCATCCATCTGTATAATGCATATTAAATAGACAGTGATGTAGAATGAGTGGCATCGCCCAGGGTGTCCACAGAGTGCTTTGGGAACCTGTGAACACACGCCCTGCACAGCAGAAGGGGATGTGCAGGTGTGATTCTGAAGAGTGCTGGTGTGTTTTGTCATCACCAGGGTCCCCACAAGGGGGATGCAGAATGGCAGGAGACAGAAGATGCAAGGCTGGCAACAGAGGGAGCGGAGAAAAGATGCAGCGCTGTGGACAGTGAGGATAGAAGGGCCCTGAGCCACGGGGTGCAGGTGGCCTCCGGGAGCTGGAAGCAGCAGATGGGTCTCTCTTGGAGAGTCCAGAACAGGGGCCTGCTGACGCCCTCACCTGCAGGTGTGTCCTCTGGACGCCAAGACACTCGGACCATTTGCTGCAGCAGCAAGGAGAGCCTCACAGGGGCCGTGTGGCACAGGGTCTGAGTGAAGCTGCTCCACGAGTCTCCCAGTTCAGCCCAAGGGCAAATTCCTGTAACACAGATCTGCTCTGGAGCAAGGGGGTGGAAGTCGCCATGCTGGCTGTGTGCTCTGACTTTGAGACTTCCCCAAATTAAAAACTGTGAATGCTAGGGGTGTGCCGTGAAGAAATGACTCTAGAGAGATGAAATCAGCTCCCAGTGACCCCAGCGAGGGAGCTGTGGCTGCCTGGCTCTCCCCCGAGCCCCCTTCTTTCTCTGTCTCCGGCTGCCCTTACACAATGACAAATGTCACCCGCGTCTCCGAGTTTGTTCTTCTTGGGTTCAGAGGGGGTCCGGGAGTGCAGATGGTGCTCTTTCTGCTCTTCCTGGTGCTGTACGTGGCGGCTGTGGTGGGGAACCTGGGCATGGTCGCAATCATCCAGGCGGACACACAGCTGCACACCCCCATGTACGCCTTCCTGCAAAGCCTCTCCTTGTTGGACTTCTGCTACTCCTCCACCATTGCGCCCAGGGCCCTGCTGAACTGCCTGCGGCGGGACCACACGTCTCCTTCGGAGCCTGCGCCGCTCAGTTCTTCTTCCTGTCTTTCTTCGGGACCACGGAGGCTTTTCTGCTGGCAGCCATGGCCTACGACCGCTTCAAGGCCATCTGCAGCCCTCTCCTCTACTCTGCCAGCATGTCGCCCCCGCTCTGTGCGCTGCTGGTGTCGGGGTCCTACCTGTGGGGCGTCCTGAATGCCAGCACGCAGACGGCGATGACCTTCACGCTGTCCTTCTGTGGCGCCAATCAGGTCAATGACTTTTTCTGTGACGTGCCCCCGCTCCTGTCCCTGTCATGCTCGGACACCTCCGTGAACAAGCTGGTCCTGCTCGGCCTGTGTGGCTCCATCATCGTCAGCACCTTCGCCGTCGTCCTGGTCTCCTACGTCTGCATCGTCTCCACCATCCTTAGGATCCGCAGCCAGCAGGGCCGCCGGAAGGCGTTCTCCACCTGTGCCTCGCACCTCGCGGCCGTGTGCTTGTTCTTCGGCACAGTCTTCTTCATGTACGCTCAGCCCAGTGCCATCTCCTCCCTGGAGCACAGCAAAGTGGTGTCTGTCTTCTACACCGTGGTCATCCCCACCCTGAACCCCCTGATCTACAGCCTCAGGAACCGCGACGTGCAGCGCGCTCTGCGCAGGCGTGGCCAACAGCTCTCTGTGTTACTCTTGCGGCCCGGGCCCGCCTGGCGCCCCGATTCTCACTGTTGCTGTCCGCTGTAGAATCTTCATCAGCATTTCTCTAACAGTGTTGGTCCAATTTTCCTGTATTTCATTGGCTGTTTGGGAAGGGATTGTTCAAGTCATTTTCCTAGTGTATCTTGATTGTCAAGGTTTCCCTTGTTTTGTAGAAATGTTTTACACTTGGAGGCTCTAAATCCATCTGTCAGTTGTGTGCATGACAAATATATTCCCACGCTTCTGCAGCATGATTTATCAAAATGCTTGCAATAAAATTCTGATAATTAATTTTGAATTTTGATGTTTGTAAGTTCTTAAATTTGATCAACTCTTACTTTTTGTTTTGTTCCTTTTGTTTATTTTATTATCTCTGTACATGTCTTATAGCATGACTTAAATAACTGTAGTTAGACTTAATCTTTTTTTTTTTTTTTTTTTTTTTTTATTTTTGATAGGCAGAGTGGACAGTGAGAGAGAGAGACAGAGAGAGAAAGGTCTTCCTTTGCCGTTGGTTCACCCTCCAATGACCGCCGCTGCAGCCGGCGCACCGCGCTGATCCGATGGCAGGAGCCAGGAGCCAGGTGCTTTTCCTGGTCTCCCATGGGGTGCAGGGCCCAAGCACCTGGGCCATCCTCCACTGCACTCCTTGGCCATAGCAGAGAGCTGGCCTGGAAGAGGGGCAACCGGGACAGAATCCGGTGCCCCGACCGGGACTAGAACCCGGTGTGCCGGCGCCGCAAGGTGGAGGATTAGCCTATTGAGCCACGGCGCCGGCTCGTCTTAATCTTTAAAAAAGTGTATCATTGAGTGATAACCGAATTAATCACCAACAATGTTCTAAATTAGCTCCCCAGTTTGTATTCCTTTATAGTTTAAAGTTTGTGTCCCATTGCTGCCACACCCTGGTTCATGATAAACACTGCTCTACTTTCTACTTCCAGGAAGTCGATGTTTTTAACTTGTCTTAAATTCCACTTGTTGGTTGTGAGCCTAGGCTTCCTTTGTAGGTGAGAAGCCAAGGTCACAGTAGCTGAGGTTTCTCAGCTCATGGCTGTTCCCTACCCTTTTGCACACATGGCTATTAACTTTGCCTCTGAGGAAGAGCCCATGCCACGTTCTGCCAGAGTCCTTGGTATTGAGCAAACAAGGCACAGACTGGGTAAAACGACACTATGGGGGCCGGTGTTTGATACAGTGGTTGTGCCTGCTCGGGACTCCCACATCCCATATCAGAGTTCCCAGTGTATGTACCAGCTCCCCTGCTTCTGCTCCAGGTCCAGGTTCCTTGTAGTGCACATCCGGGGGAACAGCAGGTGATGTCTCAGGACCTGAGTCTTGGCCTCCAACATAGGCGACCTGGATGGAGTTTCAGGCTCCTGGCTTTGACTTGGCAGCTCTGGCTGCTGCAGACCTTTGAGGAGAGAACCAGCAGATGGAAGATTTGTCTCTCTCTGGCTTTCAGATAAATAAAAAGAAATAGAAAAATGGAAAATGGTACAGTGACTTTGAGAACATATCTGGTGGTGTCTCGTAGAGTTGAACACATTTTTGTCCTTGGTCATCAGCATCTCCACTCCTTGAAACACAAGTGCTCGTACAGGAAGGTTCACAGCAGCTTTGTCACAAGATCGAGAAACTGGAAACAGTGCACATTGCATGAGCTTTAATCTATCTGTGCAATGGAATGCTGTTTTTAAGTGTATAAAATAAATATGTAAAACAGATTAAATTCCCTGCAATGGAATAATATTTTTAAAAATGAAGCACCGAAGTAGTCAACAGTATGGATGATTATTAGAAATAAGAAGCAAAAGACACATGGATGCAAAAGAAGACATATTTCCACATGTATGGAGTTCTATGGTCACAAACAAAACCACATAATTAGCTGTTTTAGGATGAGTGAGAAGGGAACAAGTTGACTTTCTGGGGTGATGGGATGAGGGCTTCATGGATGGGTACGTACATTAGAACTCATCCAAGTGTGCCCTTCAGACTGTGGTTGCATTGTGTGGTCATCACCCTCAAGATGGCCCTGGTGACCCTTAGCTCCTGATTCTGATGTGTGGGTGGCCTTGTGTAGACATAATATGAGCGTACTTCAAAATGATCAGGGGAAAATGGAGTTGAAAGACGAGTTCATTTTGGTGCAAGATAAGCTTGAGATGTGGCATAGTTTTTCCAAATATGTGTTTTCCATGAACTTCTTGAGGACCCTTCATACAGTAGAGGTAAGAGCATGTAGCACTGACACAGACCTCCAACTGTGGTAGAGAAGGAAATCTACTCGGGAGCTAAGTGGGGAGTGGTGTCAGTGGGGCTGCAGGCCGTTCCAGGGGACAGCAGGCTAGCAGGTGCTTTCTGAGGAACAGGATTCATTTTTAAAGTTTATTTGATGTTTTAAAACTCAACAGGCATAAAATTATACGCATTTATGGAGTATTATATGATGTTTCAAAATACGTATTCATTCTGTGATGTCCAATCAGAGAAAAAATACGTATATCTATTCAACCATTTAACAATTCTTTATGACAAGAACATTTCAATCCCATCTTCCAGTTTTTGAAACAGAGAAATGTACTGTACACTCCATCATCTGTGGTCACCCCAAGGTGCAGCAGAACTGCAAGACTTCTCACTCCTGTCCAGCTATAGGTGAGCATCCATCAGTCTAGCTCTCCCCACTCCTCCTCACTCCCAGCTTCTGGTGACCACCTTGATGCTTTAACTCCCATGACATTGCCCTCTATTTAGATGACACAAATGAGTGAGTTCATGCAATACTTGTCTCCCTGCACTTGGATTTCTTCATTTAACACAATGATCTCCAATTCCACCCATGTGAATGAGAAGATTAAACCCTACCTTATGGCTGAGTAGTAGTCCACTGTGTCCATACCACATCTGAGGCTGGAGCTTGTAAGTTTGGGGTGGTAGCTATTATGTGATCAGGTGATTGGTTTATTCTTTCTGTATTTTTTGTTCCTAATCATAAAATAAATAGAGTATAAAGACACCTTATACACACATATGAACACTCCCATAGAATTGTGCCATGAGTCCGTACCTTTCTATCTGAATGGATCAAGGGCACTGTGATGTCTGTTCTCAGAAGGCATTCCTCCTGCACCAGTTCACGACTTGTGTACAGAGGGAGCTGCAGTTTGGTTCCCACGGTAGGAGGAGGCTCGTGGGTCTGTCTGAGGAGAGCTGGAAGCTCATCAGCTTAGTGTGAACCTGACTCAACAGCTATGGCAGAATCTCACACCTGAGCTTTTTGCCGTGTTTGGGTCACCTATTTGTAGAGCGACAGTCACCTGTTTGCATCATCAGCCCTCTGTGCCTACCACAGAGTAAATCTGTACAGGTGGGGTGCTGCCAGGGTACAGATGCGAAGGCAATGACAAGCTTCTCTTCCTGTCACACCTTGATGGATCACAGAAACCAGACCAGAGTCATGGAGTTCATCCTGCTGGGCTTTCAGACTGAGCGAGCGGCAGGGATCCTTCTGTTGTCTGCTTTCCTGCTCATGTATGTGACTTTGCTGATTGGCAACACCATGATCATCCTCCTGGTGTGCGGGGCACCACCTGCCTGCACTCACTCATGTATTTCTTTGTAGCCAATCTTTCCTTCCTGGAGGTCACCATCACCTCCACAGTGGTGCCGAAGATGCTGGCCACCAGCTTGTCCCCCTCCAGAGCAATCTCCTTAGTAGGGTGTCTCACACAATCTTTCTTCTACTTCCTCCTGGGGTCCACAGAATTCTTCATCCTGGCTGTCATGTCCTTGGATCGATCTGCAACCCACTGAGGTACACCATCATCATGAGCAGATGCATGTGTCTGATGCTGGTTCTGGGGTCCTACGTGGGTGCATTTCTGTCTATTTTGGCACCGTCGGTTCTAACTGCTCCTCTGCCCTTTTGTGGGCCCAACGTGATCCATCACTTCTTCTGTGACAGCAGCCCTGTGCTGAAGCTGGCCTGTGCTGACATCTCTCTGGCTGAGCTGGCTGACTTTGTTTCCTCTGCGGTGCTGCTGTTGGACTCCTTGCTGGTCACAGGGGGGTCCTACAGCTGCATCATCACCACCATTGTCAGGGTCCCCTCTGTCCAGGGACGGTGGAAGGCCTCCACATGCATCTCTCACATCACCATGGTGACACTTTACTACGGGAGCTCCATCTTCATCTACGTCCGCCCCAGGAAGGGCAACAGGATGGACGTGAACAAGTTTGCCACAGTTCTCAACACGATTGTGACTCCCATGCGGAACCCTTTCATCTACAGCCTCCAAAACAAGAAAGTCAAAGAAGCTCTTGGGGATGCCTTCAAGAAGCATGTCGGTATGCTGACAACTTCAGGGTCTCAGAAGTGACAGCTTTACCAAGGACACTCTTCACATCTAATCCTGTAGTTGTGTGAAGCTGTCCCAGATAACGGGAACTTGAACAACACTCACTCTTCCTGAGCCTTGTCCAGTTCTCTCGTGAGAAGTGCACAATTTTCTGTAGGGTATCACAGAGATCGAAAAGCATGCACCTGTAGCCATCACTCACAGAGATGGATGAGCAGACAGGTGAAGGCGTATATGTGGCTGTTGTCCCAGTGCCTCCAGTCTTTTAAAAGTGAAATTCTTGTTCAACCAGGTGACCTGAGCTCCAGCAGAGCTTGTATCAGGAACCTCTGCTTTACATAGGTCCTCAGCTTTAGTGTAACATTTCTTCTTTGCTTTCTTATTTTCAATATTATTACTTTCTATTTATTAATGCAATTGGTCCCTTTCTAATGTGATAATAAAACTACTCTGGTTCCAGCTTCTAAATGTTGCCCGATATTGAAGTATGACAATAGCTACTTAGTTTTTGGCTTTCACTTCAGGCTTGCTTCCCCCTGGTTTTGTGTGTGTTGTGCCTCCTTCAGTGTCTGCAGGGGAGGGTGTGCCCGCTGCCAAAGGACACAGTAGAACCCACTGCCCACTCCATTGTGCAGTGGACATGGAGGGCCAGATCAACACCCAGTTCAATCATGTGCATTCTTTCCTAGAAACTCGGCTACTGAACTTTCAACATGAAAACTTTTATAAGATGATTTTAATGGTTAATATTAATGATCTGTGAATATCAGTATGTTCTTAGAATTGTATCTATAAATCACATGTTAAAAACTAATTAAAATTAAAAATTAAAAAATAATAAAGTTTAGACAGTCAAAAAATAACGATCTGAGAATGTCAACATGACTGAGGTTGCATTGCTTTTTTATTTACT